AGAATGAGAATTGGTGGCCACAATGATAAGCTTCCAAACTTCATTAATGGAGCAACATGGTGCCTCTTTGTCTCCATTCTGTTATTGTGCTCTTCCTTTTCCCCCCACACACTGTCAAGTTTGATGCTATTCCCTCTCCTTCTTATAAGATAGAGTACTTTCAATCACTTCTTCAAAATTAAGAAAAAGCATTAAAAGTAGTTTGCGTCATTAAAATAGTAAAAAATTATTAATACTTTCTAATATTGCCTGCCAGTTAAAATCAACCTATCTGAATTACCTTTAATTTCTTTCTTATATAGCTTCTCTATGCAATACAATTAATAAGGGCAATTGTAGAAAGAAAAATTTAATGTCATCGGCTTTTTATAAAGTGACTTGTATTTCAGATTATAAATAGTGCCTTTTGATAAAGATAGGATGACTAGTATATTTTTCACGAAAGGCACTCCGTTTAAAAATTGGAAATATCTACTACCGTGGAGTTTTGATTTTGTCTTAAAACATCCACCACTACAAGATTTCACACAAAACATTGAGTTGGAATATTTCAATCTATTAAAGAAAATAATGATACATAATGTCGCTAGGTTGGCTTAGGTAATGAAAGTGGTGTGGGGGTGGGAGTAAAAAACTAAAAACAATCGTTCTTGTTCTGTGCTCATCGTTGAAATTTAATTTCAATAATTCAAATTTAAAGTTTTAATTTATAATTTGTTTAATAATAAATTCATTTCTAAAAAAGTTACAGTATATAAAATTATTTTTATTTTAAATTTTTTATTTATTATTTTGGAGTTTTTATTTTTTTAAAAAAATATATTTCACTCTATGAAAAAAAATCGAAATAAATTAATGCTATTCTAAAATATGAAACCAATAATCCATTCCCTTCAGAAACGAACTTATTTTGGGTTAAACTGTACTTTTACCTTTTGTTGGAAGCCCACGTCCGCCTTCTTTTGTGTTTGCCAACGAAGTCTAGGTCCGCTTTTGCAGGCCCTTTTTGTGTAGTATAAACTCATAATCTTTTTTAAGTCACTTTGGACTTGAAATTAATTTTTGTTAGACAAGAAATGTAACATTTAATTTCATTTTGTGTCATAATTCTATTGCATGTTTAGGAAAAATCACACCAAATGGCGAAGCATCTTTGAATTATTTTGGCACTGCCGATCATTGATTAGTTTGCTTCCTTACTACTTCTTTCTTCTGCAAATCCACTCTGGGCTAATCTTTGTCCAAGTAAGTGCCAGCAACTTCAACTTGAATTTATTACCGTCTTCTTCACACTCATTCCTCTAACAAATTAAAGCTTACGTTAGGATGATGCTCTGGACACTGAATGTTGTTAAGACATATGCATGCGATCACATTTTGGATCTTCAAAAAGTGAGTTTTGAAGCCAAATAGTCAGTTTGATTGTGTTAAAATATATGTTTTGGGGATGACTGTTGGAAGACGAGTTTTTGGATCAAAAGTGAAGTTGAAATTAAAGCAACTTTTTTTTTTGTTTTTGATTTTTCTTTAAATTTGAATCTGAAAGTGACTTTTCAATGTATCATCTAAATGAATTTATGCAGTTAAACTGATTTTTTCCCCCTTAAAAACATATCTAAACATAAATCATGTTATATTAATTAATTGACTTTTAGCTTAACTTCAATTTGTGAAAGTTAGTTAGAGTAAAATTTACTTTTACAAATGTTAATATCCAGACAAAGACCTTACAACTTTAAGCCGCTGGGAGTGAAGCCACAGCGCATGGAAAATAGCATTTTCAGAAGATCTTTTTTTTTTTTTGTCTAAAATATAAAATATAGAGTGTTGTTATAAAAATATCTAGTGATTTTCATATATGCCATTTAGAGTTTTAATAATTGATGTCATAAATTGTAAGTAGTGGAGGCTTTACATTCCTTTTATGGATAAAGGTAGAACGAGAGTATTTGAATTTTTGTTTGATAAATGGAATGATGTAACACAAACCTTCGTCATCTCTGTGTAGACATTAAAATTACCGTAACTAACAATGTAACAAATATCTTGGAACATGAATCACAAGGCAGAATTGAAATATTAAATGTGATATGAATAGATAGTATATTTAAATTAAAGGCCTGAGGAACCGTTCCATTTTGACGGTCATGGATTGGGATATTATGGTTCCAGAAAGAAGGCTTCAATTTAAGTGCCTGGCGTCTCCTTATTGGAAGCTGTCACCTTCTGTTCTTTAGTTAGGCCTTATAATTATGGATATGGATCTGCCCCTCTTAGAATACCAGCTCATCCCTCTATTGCCTTTCGTTTTCTCCCTCATTCAATAACCAAGAAATTGAATCGCTGGGTCCCAAACTCTTTCCTTCCTTTTTATATCTGCAAAGCCTAATTGTAAATATGTTATAAGCGAGTTGTACGTAAATCCCATAATGTTCATTGTAAACGAGTATTCAGCCTTATGCATGCCATTTATAAATTGCAAAAGGTTAGATGTGAATATGCCATATATAAGCAAGTTGCGAATATTAAATGACTAATTATAATAACTGCATATCGTTCAATACACACATTCATTTTTATTTTTAGCAAAAATACATGTGCATAAACCTTTCATCTAAATTATCCATTGATATATTGTATAATTATGTGTAAATTTTATTTGTGATGAACTAAAATCTATTCATATGTATACACTTTTATTTATACTAGTCGATTTATAGACATGCATACACTTTAAGTCATCGAATGACCTTGAAGTTGAACTTCCCTTAATTGTCGCTTTGGGGTTACTCCAAAAATTAACCGAATTAATGCAATATAGTGCACAATCCGGGTCGTATTCACTTTGAGGAGCCGAAAATGAAATTGAATCCTAGTAAATAAATGCAAGTAACCTTAACTATAAAAAGCTTTTTCTTTAATTATTTTTTTATTATATTTTTTTCCTTTTTTTTCTCTTTTTTTTTTTAAATTTTTATTTTTATTTTTAAATCTTCCAAAAACCTGTAAACAAAATTTAAGAATAAGGTAGCATTAATTGTCCTTAAAAATCAATTAATCATAATTAAATCAAAACATGACAATTTTGCCCTTATAAAATAATAATTCAAAATAAAACAAAATAAATCAATTAAGGCAAAAAGGGACCAATTAAGCTGACAAAACTCATATAAAAGATACCAAAATATATCAAAATAATTGAGTTTGTCAATTCCCCCACACTTAGCCTTTTGCACTCCTGGGCAAAACATCATTAAAAAAAAGAATCCAATAGAGACACTCAATGCAAGCAAACATAAAACCAACTAAGCATGAATGTGCAATTAACTCAAGCAACCTTTATTCTTAATTAATCAACAATCATAGAATACTTCAGTGCAAAGAAATTAACACAAGAAATATAGCAGGATAAAAGAAGAGAAACATAACAGAGCTCACATAGGGTACAAGGTTTCACTCATCTCTCAAATGGGAAAAATTTCACTCAATCCACCTAGATTAGCACCTACCATAAGCTTGTAGAAATTCTAATATCTCCACCACTAACATACCTTAGGTTCATGATCAAGGGGATTTGAAGGGTTGTAATGTTGAAAAAAACAAGGCCAAATGAATGAATGGACTAACAAGTGAAATGCATGAGTAGTAAAGAATCAACTCAAAGTGAGCTTAAGTACAATCATAAAAGAACACCAAAGTGCAGATTTTAAACTTTTGAAACAAAAATCCTTGCTCTTCAAACCACCATGGAATGCCTTATTTTAAATTTATTCTTTTGTTGCAACTTATTTTCTCTTTTTTTTTTATAACTTTCTTTCTTTGGCTTTTTCTAAATATTTTCTTCTCTTTCTTGCCTTTTTCTATTTCTATTTTTTTTCTTCTTTTTTTTTCTTTTGGCATACAAACCCAAGAAAGCAAAGATATAGACATTAATGATGTACTTTTTAAAATGAAAAACCAAATGTAACTCATGCAAAACACTTGCTAAAACAAAATGAATGGAATGAAAGTAAAGGCTCAAAGGGGTGAACAAAGGTTAAATCAAGTGGTTTGTGTTTGGATAAAGGTTTAGAAATGAATGCCCCTATCATCTTCACAAATCTAGGTATTAATGTAGCTTGGAAAAAGAATCTAAACAAGTTCTAGAGGTTAACCAAAACTAGATGAAAATCACACAAGATGAGAAAATATATGGCTCAACAATCCTTCCATTAAGGCTTTCTCCAAGATGTTTCTTCCTTATGGATCAAGCCATGAAACAAGATTAATAACACTGCACCAAAGGCATTCTACTATACTAATCAACTAAGAACAAAAACCACTCAAATCAAATGCAATCAAACTCAGCCGTGCAATATTCACAAGCATTGTTCAAAAAGATTTTTAAAAGAGATGCCCAAGGATTACAAAAGTCAAGTCAGCAACAGAGAGAACATCAAATAACCCATACAGCAGTGCAAAACACTGAGGCGAATGAAAATAGGAGGACACAGAAACTAGCAGCAAAATTCCCAAGCAAGAATCACTCTCAAATCATGCGATGCAATTCAGAAATCAATCAATAAGGCAAAGAAGAGGAGCAATTATAGTAGCAATACTTAGGAAACAGGTGCAAATCCAAAGGCAGAAATTTTTTTTTTCAAGAGAAAGCTCAACAACTCAACAACAATCCCTCCCCCACACTTAAATTTTACATTGTCCTCAATGCAAAATCCAATGACAAGGTAATGACAAGAGAAAAAGAGGATCAATAAGGGAGTAAACAAAAACAAGATTACTTTTCTACTAGAATAGCTCCCCCACACTTATCCTCTTCAATAATTCAGTTAAGCACAGTTAATCAATGCAAAGTTAAGAGAAAATAAGTGAGGAAAGAGACAACTTTGTGCTTAAAGCGCCTTAGACTCTTAAAAGAGAAATTCTCATCAATAATGAGAAACATGAAACTTAGCAAAAAGGATTGCTCTTGATGATTGCACTTTCTTGGTGGTGGCTCAGGGTCAATTGAAAGAGGTCCAAGAGGATATGGTGGAGTTTGGTGTTGAGGAGATCCCTTCCAAATATGTGCCTGCACAAAAAACAACCTAGCAGCAGTACCAAATCTAACAATATAGACTTCGAGAGATTTCAAATAAAATAAAGACATTTTATGATTTAGACTCTTCAAATAGCTACAGCATCCAAGAAAGTCAATGATACTCCCATCAGTAGGAGTCAAACAATCATTTAAAGTTTCAAAACACTTAGGTTCACGTGACGTGGAAACTGAAGAATCCAATTGACAGTTATTAGAGTACAGCACATCACTATCACATTCACAATAGGTGGGAGGTAAAAGCATGAAAGCAGAAGAAGATTCATACATAATACTACTATTGACATAGCTAACTAAATCAGGAGGCAAATCACGAGACAAAACTTGTTGGAAAGGTTCATCTACATGCATAATTTTGTCAATCAAAATTTCAGAGTCTTTCTCAACAACACTAGAAGCTACTAACTCAAAGGAATTATCATGCAATTGGTTCTCAAGGCAATGATCATTCTCACATTTGTCATCAATAATTGCACTCAAACAAGATTTAGCAATCTCAATGTTCTCATACTTATCAATAACAACGCTTCCAACACTATGAAGAGGAACATGATTGGCATGTAAATCATCACACAAAACAGCATCTTCATCCAAATCACTACCACTAAGAGCAACAAAATGAGTATTAGCATGTACAAAAACATGAGGGGATTCACAGACAATTTCTTCATCCACCTCAATATCACTCATATTATCAAAAGCTTCAACAAGAATAGTAGTTATAGCACAAGGGTCAATCTCCTCAAGAAGAGGATCAATATTACCTGATATAGGACACAAGTCCTTATGAGTTTGTAGATGCTCATGCTTCATTTCAGCTTCTTGTATGAGTAAATCTGGGCACTTTGGCTCATCCTTCCCATTCTCAGATTCAATTTGAGCTATATCACTCAAGAACTTCTCCAATGCACTCTTACATTCTCCTAACTCTTCTTCTGATTCCTTTGAGATTCCAGATATCCGTGCTTCTTCAAGTAATCCATGGTAGTATGAATTTAAGCGGTCATAAGCTTCTCTTAAAAATCGTATCTGGTCCTTCTTAGGAATAGTAAGAAATGGGTCAGGTTCATTGAATTGAGGTTCATGAGATTGGGGGAGAGAATGGTAGTTGGATTGGGACGAGGGTTGGTGGTAGTATTCATATGGAAAAGGAGATGGTTCTTGGTGGTATGTATACGGTGGAGATATATGATTAGAGTATGGTTGGCGAGGTGGGAGTGATGGGTTAGGTGATTGATGTAGAGGATGGTTCATCCAAGAGGTGTCATGAGCATAGATGTGATTAGGCATTTGAGACTCTAGTTGAGCTTGGAAGGAGTCCAACTGTTGTAACAACTCTTCAATCTCTTGAGAATATGTTGAATTAGAAGGTGCTTCATTCCACGTACTATTTCCTACAAAAAATAGAGAATGTGAGAGTAGATCATGATTGCTATTAAACCAAGCCATGAAAAACAAAAAACAAATGCAAACTACTAAAAAAAAAACTAACAAAAATGAAAACTAAAAAGGCTCAACAAATGAACCCCAATCAAGGCTACTTGACACTTAATTACTAGGGAACCAATTTCTTGGCTCCCCGGCAACGACGCCACTTGAAGTTGAACTTCCCTTAATTGTCGCTTTGGGGTTACTCCAAAAATTAACCGAATTAATGCAATATAGTGCACAATCCGGGTCGTATTCACTTGAGGAGCCGAAAATGAAATTGAATCCTAGTAAATAAATGCAAGTAACCTTAACTATAAAAAGCTTTTTCTTTAATTATTTTTTTATTATATTTTTTTCCTTTTTTTTCTCTTTTTTTTTTAAATTTTTATTTTTATTTTTAAATCTTCCAAAAACCTGTAAACAAAATTCAAGAATAAGGTAGCATTAATTGTCCTTAAAAATCAATTAATCATAATTAAATCAAAACATGACAATTTTGCCCCTATAAAATAATAATTCAAAATAAAACAAAATAAATCAATTAAGGCAAAAAGGGACCAATTAAGCTGACAAAACTCATATAAAAGATACCAAAATATATCAAAATAATTGAGCTTGTCATCGAATGACCTCAAATTGTGTCTTAAATGTATTTGAACGATAAAACACAGCTTATTTTTCAAAAACACTCTTATTTTTTAAAAGGGTGGATGGGAGAGAGAATGAATAGGAAAAAAAACATATGGGAGGACATGTAATTAATTGAATGTGAAAAAAATAAAAAAGCATTGTGATGCATGATTTTTATATTGTTGATGTTGCAGGTTAATTTAACATTGTAATTATGAGATAAACTATTACATGATTTGGGAATAACCTATTTAGTCAGTCCACATTCTTCATATTTTTAAGTGGGAGGGGATCATTAGATGATTGGTAGAACATTATCGTTATATTGAAACTAGAAAATGGATTTTAGAACTAGATCATGGCGTGTGAGTTCATAGAACTATTGATGATGGGTGGATATATTGATTTGCTTTTGGAACAAACGAAAGTTTAACTGTTTTTCATCAAGTTTGAAGTCAGATCTTCTATAGATCAGATTATGTCGTTAATTAGGAAAGTTCTCTATAGGTGATTATTACTCAGAATATATTACCCGTAAATATATTATACATAACTTTCAGCTGTAATGACATGCTATAGGTGATGCATTAAGAACAAGATGATTAGTATCATATAAAATGAAAAGGACAATTGTATATGATCTCAAATTTTTAGCTAGGTCTCCGTGGCAACCTTCTTCTTTTTTCCACATCCTTTAACTTTTTTTTTTTGGGACTGACATCTTTTAATTTCGTTTAATCAAGTTTTCATATAATTTTACACGGCATAATGTTTAGAAGTATATTGTTAGTAACGCGTGCCTCTTAGTTGTCAGTTAGTTAGAGCTAAACTGACTGTTGAAAGTATAAATACAGCTATGATTTTACATTGAATTTTGTTGAATAAAGTGGAAATCAGTTTTCGTTCTCTTCTCTCTTCTCTTCTCTCTTCCCCCCCCCCTGCCTGTACCATATAAGGAGAGTTTGAAATCTTCATCACCCACATTTTGTCTTAAATGAAAGTAAGCCCTATGCCTACATGACAATTAAGTTTAATTTCTAATCCTCTGTGTTTTATCGGCAAAGAAAAGAAAACTTTTGTGTGCACGTGTGCGCGCACGTTCAGAGCAAGAATTCTCTTCACGATGTCTGGATTCAGACTGCGATACACGACTTTAGTACTCATCCATTAATGCAGTGATAAATTCACGTGTTTATAATGTTCTACTGAGTTATAAAACATAAATATGGACGTATAATCAAAAGCGCTCGATTTCTTTTATACATACAGATAGATTCACAAGTTTCAACCGTCAAAAGCACAAACAAGGTGTTCATGCAGGCTAGGGGAGATTTGGAAGGGCTTAACTAGGTCACTAAGGTCTTGTTTGGTATGAAGCATTAAAAATGAGGGATAATAATTGACATTGAGAGTGAAAAACTATATTAAAAGAGTGTTTGGAATGAGTAATTATTTGATACTTGGGATTAGACAAATCTATATGTGAAATTAGAGAATACCATAGGAGAAGGTGTTATTCTCCAATTCCATCTATATGGGATTGCCTAATCCAATGTGATAAGAAATCACTCATGCTAAATATTCTTTTAACATATGTTTTCAATTTTAGTTCCAATCCTTATCTCTTATTTTCAATGTTTGGTATCAAATGGGACCCAAAGTTATCATCCAGTCCAATATTAAATCAGCCAACAGCAAGTGCAGAAACACTCCATATCACGGAAGAACAGAGGTAAGGAAGGTATCTTGGTGTATTTTGTTCAGTGTTGCTTCCCGGTCCTTGTGGAAAGCGAGAAATGCAAGAGTTTTCAAGGGTGAATATCCTGATACTTACAAGCACGAGTAGCGAAGTGTGGTTCAAGATTAACTCGGGGATTGGCAGGGTGAAAAGGGATTTAGTTGTTATTTTCACATTCCTCCGATAACCGTATCCATAAGCAATCTTCAGTTCCCACCAACAATTGCACGCCATATTTAATTTCAATACATTAATTATTACTCTTATAAATGTAACTGAGAGGGAAATATATATATATATATATATATATATATGAAGAAGAAGAATAAGGAGTCATGAGCACATATGGATCCTATTACAGGAAATACAACCAACATATATTAAGCATATTAACCTCTCCATAACCAGTTTCCTGGCAGAAGAGTAAAGTGAGCTATACTCTCTACAAGTATGTTTTGATTGAAGAGAACAGAGAAGAAAGAAATGTGATTTAGATCTAAATAAGAGATATGTCTAATTAGATCGAGCATTCCCTTCTTAATTCTTCCTCTCTCTGCAATTAAACTCCCATATCTTAAACTTCACGATGTAAACTCTTGTTACGAGGCCCATCAAAAGAAATATAAGGAAAGAACTACCATTTGCTTACATATCCTTTTTAGGATCTTCTGGAAATCCTTGCATCACTTGGTACAAAAACTCAGAATTATTGATAAGGAACAAGGAATAAAATTCATCCACGTCCGCTTCATTTGTTGCAAAGTTCAGACTATAATAGTTATCCTGGTCATATATATTTTCTGGGACCAATGGTTATTGGTTGGGTCCCAAAATCCCCGAATTCTTCAACTATTTCCCATGCGGCATTATTAGCATCGCTTGATTCTTCAATCGGTGAGCTTTCCAAGACATTAGCGGAGGAAGCAGCAACGAAACCAAGCAGAGGGTTTTCAGGTTCGAAATGCTTTGTTGTTTCTCTTTCACAAGTACAACTAGAATTCATTCTGAGCTCAAATTTGTCCGCTTGATTGCACTCCAGTTGCTTCTTTAGGTGGCTATGCCAACGGTTCTTAATCTCGTTGTCACTTCTCCCTGGTAATCTTTCGGCAATCAAAGACCATCTGCGACCACAAATGTTTTATATGTTACACACACACACACATGAAAGCATCTTACGTTTACTTGATATTTAAAGCACTTGAGCTTTGAAGTCAATTGATTCTTTCACATATAATTAAAGATTGAATTTTTCTTTAGTAACTCTAATTTCCATCCCCATGATGGAATCACAATGAGATCTAGCTGGTTTGCAGTGCAAACTACAAACTATATCTTATGTTTAGAACTGGAAGTAGTGTTAGGAATGTCAAGGAAACAAATTAAAACTCGATCATCCAACTTAAATTTTCACCCTCTTAAGAAAAGATTTTTCAAGTGAAAATCAAAACCTCTTCGTATATCCTCTAACTTTTTCCAAGTCTTCCTAGCCATTTTCAGGGAACTGAAAAAGAGTCACAAAGATACTTATAAACGAATTAATGAAACTTATTAAACTCAAATATTATTAGATCTAGCTACATATAGCTAGCGTCGAAGTTCATGCTTGTGCAACAAAGTCATTAACGACTGAGATACCAAGAAATCCCAGGATATCCGTGTTCCTATATTTGCAAATATCTGTTAAGGAAAAAACCTTGATGGATACGAAAAGCTCGCATGAATCCGGGAGAGCATATATCAGAGGTGAAATATGCTTACTTATTTCCAAGTTGTTGATGTAATTTGATGATGAGTTCGTCTTCTTCTTGGGTGTAATTTCCATGCTTTACGCCCGGACGAAGGTGATTTAGCCAGCGAAGTCGGCAACTCTTTCCACACCTTGATAAACCTGTACGTAATTGCAGCTGAAACTCCATCAAGATCTCTTTAACAAGAAACTAAAGTTCATTAGGCTGAAACTGACAAGTTGGTTTTGGCGTGGGTTTGGTTAACAAATTCTTTTGTGTGTGCGTGTGTGTGTGTACGTCCCCGCGTGTTTGGGGAGTTGGCGCCAATTTCTATGACCATATATCTCAACATATGCTCTTAACCTTTCATCCTCTTCCTTACTCCACGCACCTCTCTTTATTCCGTTTTTGTCATAGTAAGGGCTTCTCGTCATTGCCTATGTATACTAATAAACTCAGTTTGTTTGGGTATCTCAGACAAGACTTCAATTCAACTATGGGAACATATGCACTTATAGAAGGCAGCAGACACTCGTATATAGGAACCTCAGCTTCACTCAATAATATATACTGAAGTCTTAGCTAGCTAGCAATGAGATTGGACTGCGCGCTGAAACAGAGATGGGTATGTTCTCTCGTTCATGGAAAATTCCCCTAATAGATTAAATTAAAAAATAGGAGTGCAAATTGTTGTGAGAAATGGCTCTTGATCGTCACATGCGAAATAAAGTTTTCTGGTCTTTCGGAAGAAAAATCGACACCGTTGCGTCGGTCCACGTCTTTGATTAAAGAAACACCCGCCTACTCATCAGTGTTTTCTTTTTCTTTTTTCCTTTTTTTTGGGGGGAGGGGGGAGGGCATTGTGCAAATTACTTTTTGACTTCGGGGACGTTAATAAAAACACTTCGTCTGCAAACACGTGATCGTTGCGACCTTCCCCCCCCCCCCCCCCAAGAAAGATGCAATAAGAAATTTGCAGTGTTTTTTTTTCCTTTGCAGAATACTTTTAGACGATTTTCCATGGTTTAAGATTTATTTAATCAGCATGAGCTCTTTGTCGAGAATCTAACGTACGGAAGTACATAGAAAAAATTACACATAGCTCCCAGCAGCACAATTTATCAATACAAGGTAATTTAAAATCTCAAAATAAATAGGAGGTCCAATGGGACCTAAAAGTAATATACTACCTCCGGTTCTTAATATAAGACCTTATTTGACTTTTAGTTTGATCCTAAATATAAGACCCTATCCACTTTGTCTCTCATATTTACTCAATTTTTTTAAGATAGTACTTTTAATAATTATAGTTCTAGTTAATACACTTGATTAGTAAGAATATTTTAGGAAAGGCAACACATATTCAGGACAAATAACTAACTCAACTTACTTTCTTAATCTCTTCAAATTAGTCAACTGACTCTTATAATTAGGATCAGAGGTAGTATTTTAAATAAGAAATTACATCATTATCCCTATACACAAATTGATAAGCTCATATGCGTGGATGAACAAGTCAATAAGAACGTATTGACAAGTCAAAGGACATCAGTTAACAACTAAATTTATGAGATAACATAGCCTTCATATAAGATCAAGTTATCACAAAAGAGTATTATTATATGACAATTTTTAAACTGAAATCATGTGTGATCAAAGCATGCATATTGAGATGAAATAATTGGATTATATCATAATTTTGTTACAGACAGCTATTAGGTTGATAGCTAAATTTATGAGATAATATAACCTCACATAAGATCAAATTATAAAAAATTCTTATACAACATTGACAAGGGTAACGGCTTATTATATAATGGTGACATTGTGTAAGAATTTTCCCGATTATACGCGCGCGCACACACACACAAGTATATGCTGCATAAGTGGAATTGAAATTATTGCGGCTACATCTCATTGTTTATGTACTATAGTGTAGACGGGATTTAATGCCTGAAACAAATTTCGTGTTTAGACCCCGCATGCCCATATCCAAAAAGTAGGTGCAATGTTAAAAAAACCGGATCGGACCGGACGGTTCAGACTGAAAACCGGTGAACCGGCCACTTGCCGGTCTGGTTCATGCTATGAACCGGAAAATTTTTGAACCGGTATGAACCGGTTCAAACCGTAGTGACTCGGTAATAACCCGGTCAACTCGTTGGGTTAGATAGGTTAATTGGGTCACTCTTTTTTTAAAAATAAAAACCAGAAATTGGAAGTTTGAGGAGAAAAAGAAAGAGGAGGAGGAGGGCGGAAGAGACCGCGGCGAGAAGGAAGAAGAATGGAGAAAAAGGTAGGGAAGAGGAAAGCAACTTGCCAAACTTTTCTTGGAAGCATAGAGCGCATATGTTGGAGTGTTGATTTTGCAAGCATCATTGCTGCCATGTCCATAACAAACTCAATTATTTTTATATATTTTGGTATCTTTTATGTGAGTTTTGTCAGCTTAATTGGTCCCTTTTTGCCTTAATTGATTTAATATGTTTTATTTTAAATTATTATTTTTTAGGGGCAAAATTGTCATATTTTGGTTTAATTGTGACTAATTGATTTTTGAGGACCATTAATGCTACCTTATCCTTGAATTTTGTTTGCAGGTTTTTAGAAGATTTAAAAATAAAAATGAAAATTAAAAAAAAAAGAGAAAAAAATAAAAGAAAAATAAATTAAAAATATATATAATAATAAAAGAGGGAGCAAAACGCAACGTTTTGCCCCCCAAACCTAATATACTATAATTCTTCTTCAAACACAAGGAGAAGACGCCGAACGCTGGAGAAGAAACGGAACACACACACACGCGACGAGACGAACCCACGAGCTGGCGGCGGAAAACGAATAGAAAAACAAACCAGCGGCGTGAGGGAAGAGGATTCAGCGTGAGCTTCCACAGCGAAATCACACCCCAGCATTCATCTTCTTTGTTCTTCATGGCTGAACCGAATTGGTTTGTTGGAACTGTGGTTGTGATGGTTAAGAGTAGCTAAATCTTCTAATTCTCTAGAGCAATGGTTATGGCTTGAACTTAGAGCTTCAAAGGGGAGTTTCAACTCTTCTAATCTTTACTTCTTTCATTATAATTGTGATTTCTAGGTCTTAGAATGAATTTTATAATGTTTGAATGGGCTGTGATGATTTATATTTGCATTGAGATTAGTTGTAGTTGTTAGAATCTTTGATTAGCATTTAACATTATGCTGTAATTAGCTTTAATTTCTTTACATTGTACTGGGTCAGACTATGTTTTGAAATTATTGTGAACATTTAGTGGTAATTCAAGGTGGCTTGGTTATTGGACTAAAAATGTTAATTGCTTTTCTTTGATTTTCTTTTTGGCTAATTGTGCTGAAACAGTTTAATTGTGAGTAATTAATATGCAAGGTGGCTTGGTGTTGATTATTCTAATTAAACCGAATCTAAAGGGTGGCCCTTAGAGTCTTTTGAATTTAGTTAACTCCCAAATTAATTGAAGTAATGATAGCCTAAATCATTGTACTAGGGAATTGCTCTTCCATTTGCTGTCACTTGTTAATTCACTTTGCTTATTTTATTCATATCCATTTTATAAACTAAAAATCCAAAAATTATTTACTTATTTTGCATCCTTTTAAATTTTGCCAATTAGTCAGTTAAAAAGAAAATCAATCCCTTTTCAAGTCAATTCTTTATTTTTGATACTTAGTTTGCTTAGGATTTCAAATAAAGGCTCCTCAAAGTGAAACGACTCGAGTTTTGCACTATATTACATTGCTTGGATTTATTTTTGATTGGGAACCCCAAGGCGAACGATAAAGGCTCTCATCAAGTGGCGCCGTTGCCGGGGAGCCAAAAAAATTGATTTCCAAGTAACTAAGTGTCAATCTTTGGTTGACTTGGTCCTTGAGCTTTTTAGTTTTTGCATGTAGCTAGTTTTAGCATCCTTAGGTAGTTTTTCATTGCATTGCTTTCATTTGCATCAAACCCCTGCGATGGTTGCCTGTGCCGGAGTTTCGGCGACCAGCCAATTGATAAGGATGTTTGATAATTTTTTCAAAAAAAATTAAGGACAATTTGGTTTTTTCAGCAAATTTTAAAATCTCAATTTAGTCATGTGTGACCAAATGAGAATCTTTATTATTCAGCTAACCAAATGAAGATTTTCAAATCTAAGTATCATTTTTGTGCCTTTTTTTTTTCAGATTTGAATTTAAATAATTTTTTTTAAAAATGATCAAAATATTAAAATCACGTGGACACCATGTCAATCTAGTACTGCTAGCGGGGGTCCCTTCCTAAACCAGTGTAAAAAACCTAAAACAACCGACACAAATAGGCATTTTTCTGTACGACTGTAATAGTAAAAATCAGAAATTCTTTGGTACACAACAAATAAAAACAGCAGCCCCCCAAAAGAAGACCAATTCATAATGTTTGGAGTCTTTAGACTAGTTTGATTAGATTAAGAAAATTAGATAAGTTAGTTAATTATAAGAAACATGACATGTTTTTGTTAAAACACCATAATAATCTTTCTTAATATATTTCTTCTCTTACTTACTTGATTATGGCTAATAGAGTATTTATAGAAGTAATTTAAAAAAAATTAATAAAAATAATAAATAAGTCTTATATTTAGAACTAAAATTAATTTAACAATTAGGTCCTATATTAAGGATTGGACTGAGTACTACTAAAATTCTTGATTTCTCTCATGAATGTTTAATTATTCCCATCCGGTCCCTGAAAACACCCCCAATCCTAACTACCATGTCAGTCTGAAGTCAACCCTCATCCTACAAAGGGTCGTGTGAATGTAAAACTAACAAGGTTTCAACAAAGGATCGTGTGAATGTAAAATAACAAAGTTTGGGTGGAAACCGCGTAGTCGAAAAAGTTAAATACAAGGTATAGTTTTAAAATGTCTAATTGTACGGAATCGGTATTTTTTAATTAAAAGATAAGGAGTGACACAAAAGCAAACAGTATCAAGCATTGACTTAACTTTATCTGTCAACCAACGAATCCCGAGAGTATCTCTTAATACCCCACGGGGAAAAAGGACCACCAAAAGAAAGTTCTCGTTCAAATTCGTACACCCATATTTAATATCTTGTTATCCCTATGGGAATTTGCCATGAAATTTGAAAGCATATTCGTGTTTTCCAGCATGTTGCCAGCTGGGGCTTCGATATCATTGAATGGAGCCAAGGTTCTTATATATATACACGAGTATGGGCTGCCTTCTGTAAGTGCATATGTTTCCATATTTGAAGTCTTGTCTCAGAGAACCAAACAAGTTTAGCAATATACATACATATATATATATATATATATATATAGGTGACGACGAGAGGGCCTTGCCATGACAAGAATGGAATAAAGAGAGGTGCGTGGATTAAGGAGGAGGATGAAAGGTTAAGAGCATATGTTGAGAGATACGGACACAGTAATC